TTATTTTTTTCTATTTAGTGTTTCCTTGTCTTCTTTAATTTTTGTCAAAAATACACAAAAAAGGGTAAATAAATTGTTGTTTCAGGGCAATCACTCCTATAAAGAGTCTACTAACAATTTGGGCATATTTCGATTATTTTTGCTTGTGCAAGTTTCTATCTATCGATAATAGTTTTATTAGGCAAAACAAAACAAATAAACTGTTGACAGAGTGATCTGTCTCGCCTGTCCGGCTGTCGGCAATAAAATTCAGAACTAGAGGCTCTAAAGAGCCTGTGTCGCTCACCTAGGTCTATATACATATTCAATAAAGGACTCTCTCATTGTAGACAAGAATAGAATTCATGACAAAACTTTCTTTTATGTTGATCTTATATTGCTTATCGTTTTGTCTGTTAAGTTTATCTCTATCTTCTTTAGTTTTTTTCTCAAAACACAAAAGAGGGTAAAAAAATCCTCATTTAATCACTCCAACAGAGAGTGGCAGTCAACTTACTATATCCGTAAAATTTGACTTGTTTGTAGATCCTGTCTTCCTGAACATTTTTGTTATTTAAAGTTTCTATTTAATATCTATTATAACATTTATCCTATAGGCAAAACACAAAAAAATGGTAAAAATTAAGGGCAATAACTCCAATAATGTGTCGTCCGATAATTTCCTCCATGTTGTCTTATAGATCTTGTCTTGCTGATCATTTTTGCTGATTTAAGTTTCTATCTATCTATTATCATTTTTACGATATAAGGCAAACAAGAGGCTGTCAGAGAGACAGCAAACCGGATTTTCCTGCAGAGGTCGAACCCTGAACAGTTGAGCAAGTATGGACACTACATTTAAACTTAAAACAGCTCTGAATTTGGATTGTGATTGAATATTTGACACACCATAGGTTTGTGACACAAAATGAATGTAGTCAAAGAACTGATATATTTGAAATTGGACATTTAAATACCTATTATGGTCCAATATCCAAAATCTAAGTACATATTAGAATCAGCATATCAAAGAACCCCAAGAATTCAATTTTTGATGAAATCAGACAAAAGTTTAATCCTTATAAGACCCTTTGGACCTCAATGTGGACCAATTTGATAAAGGAGCCCACAATCCAAAATCTCTCAATACATGGTTAGATTCAGCATTTCAAAGAACCCCATAAATTCAATTTTTGTTGAATCAAACAAAGTTTAATTTTGGACCCTGATTTGGACCAACTTGAAAACTGGGCCTAAAAATCTAATATCTAAATAGAGTTTAGATTCAGCATTTCAAAGAACCCTATATATATATATTTAATTTATGTTGAAATGAAACACAGGTTAATTTTATCCATAATATTTTCTGTGCAAATGGAAATAACTCAAACTGGATAAATAGTTCTCTAAAATAAGATATGATGCAATTTTTCAAATCATAATCAATAATATAATAACAACAACCAGTGATGACTAAGTTCTCTAAAATTAGATATGATTTAACACTCAAACATTGTTAGAATCAGCATATCAAAGAACCAAAGAATTCAATTTTTGATGAAATTAAACAAAAGTTTAATTTAGGACCCTTTGGACCTCAATGTGGTATTATCTTATTAATAATGAAAAGCTCAACCGTTTACAAGTTCTTAAACAGGAGGGGGGTGGGGGGGGACCCAAGGGGACTCACCTTATATTTCATTTGATTTGTTTTATTGTCCCATACAAGAATATATATGGTTTTGGGGTGAGGATCTTGACTATTTACAAGTTTTCAAAAAGAAAGGGGTGGGGGTTACCCCAGGGGACTTTCCCTCAATTTCATTTGATTTGTTTTATTGTCCCATTCAAGAATATATATGGTTTAGGGGTGGGGATCTCGACCGTTTACAAGTTTTCAATCAGGAGGGGGTGGGGTGACCCCAGGGGACTCGCCTTTTATTTCATTTCATTTGTTTTATTGTCCCATACAAGAATATATATGGTTTCGGGGTGGGGATCTTGACTGTTTACAAGTTTTCAAAAAAGGGGAGGGGGGATGGGGGTTACCCCCATGGACTTTCCCTAAATTTCAATTGATTTGTTTTATTGTCCCATACAAGTATATATATGGTTTAGGGGTGGGGATCTCAACCGTTTACAAGTTTTCAAAAAGAAGGGGGTGGGGTTTACCACCATGGACTTCCGTTAAATTTCATTTGATTTGTTTTATTGTCCCATACAAGAATATATATGGTTAAGGGGTGGGGATCTCAACCATTTACAATTTCTCAAACAGAAGGGGGTGGGGGGTTACCACAATGGACTTCCCCTATATTTCATTTGATTTCTTTTATTGTCCATACAAAAATATATATGGTTTAGGGGTGGGGATCTCGACCGTTTACAAGTTCTCAAACAGACACGCTGGGGGTGACCCCAGGGGACTCACTTTTTATTTCATTTGATTTGAAGAATATATATGGTTTCAGGGTGGGGAGCTTGCACATTTACAAGTTTTCAAAAAAATAGGAGGGTAGCTGTGAACCCAAGGACTATCCCAATATTTCATTTGATTTGTTTTATTGTCCCATACAAGGATATATATGGTTTAGGAGTAGGGATCTCAACCGTTTACAAGATAAAAGCACATTATCAAATTGAAGGGGGTAGGGGTAAGAATATATATGATTAATGGACACTTAATTATCTACAAAATGTCTAATAATGAACAGTAAATTCCAAACTTCATTTATACAGTAATACTAGTAAGTTTCAAACTGTATATATACAGTTCACAGATCTTATCAGAAAACAGAAAATTTTCAAATAAATCTGTCACTCCAATGATTATCATATCTAAAATATTTCCAAGATCTAATTAATAATGAAAATAAATCATTATCATATGCTGAAATATTTATAATATCTAATTGAACAGAACTATGGTTGTTTAGCATAGTACTCTAACATAATTAATAATGTAATAATCTTCAAAATGTCTAATGATATAGCATATAATCATTACCACTTAGGAAGTAGATAATTTTCAAATAAATCTGAAACTCCACTTTTTATTCTGAGATAAGACAAATCATAACATGATAACAACAGTAAAATATTTAAAAATTCTACTTTTGGATATTAAAAATGGCGATAACTCACAAAGGAGATATACTAAAATCTTGAAAATTAATACAGACCTTCATTAAGTCCCAGGAAACAACATATTTAAATTTGAAAAAAAATTTGTTAAAGCGTTTTCATGTTATTGTGCTGACACTGTAGAACCGCCCGCCGTATATCACCATTTTAATAACCGATATTTCCTTTGAAAATCCGGTTAATTATAAAAATTGGCAAAAAACGTTATCAAAGGGCAATAACTCTAATATATCAGGAGTCGACTGGCGATTTCGATCATGTAGACTTATTTGTAGATCTTGTCTTGCTGTTCATTTTTGCTGTTTAAAGTTTCTCTATATCTATTATAATTTTCAAGATAATAGGCAAAAATGGAAAAAAATGTAAACTTGCATTTAAGGGCAATAACTCCTACAATAAGTCGTCTGTCATTTTTGATGTAATTTAAATGGACAATAGGTAGATCTTGTCATTCTGAACATTACTGCCCCTATCAGATTTTCTCTTTCTATAGCGGTTTTCAAGATAATAGACAAAACTTGCATGTAACCCCCATGTTCTACTTTTAGTCATGTCAGTCATGTTGGTTGACAGGCTGGATCATCGGACAATTTTTTTTATTTGATACCCCAATAATTTAATTTTGGATGTAACACGTCTTCTGATTGGCTGACGTTGTTTTGTTTATCAGCTCGTAGACATAATTTTGTGATCGTGACGTCATCAACGTTTTTTCATGGTTTACTCCGGTTTAAAATGGAATTTAGAATTAAATTATAAGAAATGACTGTTATTATTTAGTGTGCACCACAGTTTTGATGTTATTTCTTCATAGACAGAAAAAATATTACAGTCATTCCTTAAATAATGGTTATGGCCAAGTTTGGTTAAATTTGGCCCAGTAGTTTCAGAGAAGAATAGTTAACGACGACGGACGACGGATGTCAAGTGATAAGAAAATCTCACTTGTTTCTTTGGGCCAAATGAGCTAAAAATATACTACAACTCATGGGGATTGAATTTTAAAATACTCTACAATTCATGTGGATTAGATTTTTAAATACACTTTAACTCATGTGAATTAAATTTTTAAAAACACTTCAACTGATGTGGATTCAATTTTAAAATACACTACAACTCATGTGGATTCATTGATTTCCACTTGTCCATGGTATGAACCCCAAGGGTGACTGGGGTATAGAAGTATGGTCACCATTGGTCTTCCTCCGACCGGCAGTAAAACCCGTGCTAAAGTGGGGCGTCCGTTTGGCTGTGCGGGATGTACAAATTTGCAGCCACGTCCGGTCAGAATGGGGACGTTAAATCCGATGCCTCGTGTAAAGAGAGTGCCACGCTCTTTGCACGTTAAGAACCCTTGCAACAACTCTTTGAGGGGTCCGTAGGTGACCTGTTGCAAGGCTAAATTTCTGTTCATCCAATATACCCTCATTTCCCGTGGCAGTCTAAATTTTTCCGACCTTAATCCCTTAATCTATTACAGATCCTACCTATTGTATTTATTGTGAACTTGTTCTCGTCCTGAATATGCATGAAATATTTGCCACTGGACGTTAAGCAACCAACAATCAATCAATCAATCCATGGTATGAGTCCATATAATTAATATGTTCAATTCAATATCATCAATATGCAAATCTAGTTGTTTAAATGAATCATAAACAAACTACAAAGAATTAAGATTTATTTTATGCAAAACCATGAAAATGCATATCTAGCATGTCTAGTTGTTTAAATGAATTTCAAATACAACAAAGAATTAATATTCATTTTATGCAAAACCATGAATATGCAAATCTAGTTGTTTAAATGAATATGCAAATCTAGTTGTTTAAACGAATATACAAATCTTGTTGTTTAAATGAATAACAAACACAACAAATAATTGATATTTATTTTATGCAAAACTTGACAAACATGCACTGGCATGACTAGTCAGTACTGTGCAATACAAATAATGTTAAAAAAACATTAAATCATTTTAAAAAGAAATCAGCAAACTACCATTGATTGTGTTCTTTCACAATCAGGAATGAACTCCAATACGTTAACCATAGAAATATAATCCAATTTTTATTGCCTCTTATTCAAAAGAATCAGTGGCGGATCCAGAGGGGGGTTTCCGGGGGTTGGAACCCCCCTTTTTTATGACGATCAATGCATTTGAATGGGGACATATAGTTGGAACTCCCCCTTTATCCTGGGTTAGGAACCCCCCTTTTATAAATGGCTGGATCCGCCCCTGAGAATGGAGGTTTACATTGAGTGAGGAAGAAAGGTCTATCCAGTCCTTGGTAGTAAGATGGGAATAACAACATTCAGGTCAGCTGTCGGGGGACCGCTTCCTATGTACAGAGTGGTAGGGATGAGCCACTAAATTAAACCACTTCAATACTTCAAGCTTCAAAATATATATGATGAGGGCGTAAAATCTTAGATTAAATATATAATAGAGCTGCTGATTTATATTATCATAAGTACAAAGAATCTAAAACTGCTAAACATGCTAAATCAGATGTTAGTATTTATCAAAGATGTGATTAAAAGAACGATTAAAATTACAGTCATAAATGCAGCAGATATTTGTCAAATCTATTTTAACTCTATAAACATATGATGAAATAGTGTAATACATAGTTACACGTACATAGGTCATATTTTTGTTTAAAATATATGATAGGGTAACTATTTTTAAATATCATGAATATTCAAAATAAATATGAAAACAGAGAGGTACTGGGTGTCTCAGCTGCTCAACTCTAACACAACAGAATTAAAGTGTCCGGTCCATCTGTAGTACATGTGAACTGTCCATTCAGTCAAGTGTGTGTTGTCATGTGGTTCTGAAAGTGTATGTTGTTATGTGGTTCTGTAAGTGTCTGTTGTCTTGTGTTTCTGTAAGTGTGTGTTATCATGTGTTTCTGTGAGTGTGTGTTGTCATGTGGTTCTACAAGTGTGTGTTGTCATGTAGTTCTGTTAATGTGTATTGTCATGTGTTTCTGTAAGTATGTTTTGTCATGTGTTTCTGTAAGTGTGTGTTGTCATGTGGTTCTGTTACGGAACGCTTAGCTCGAAAAAAAATTCTGACTCTGACAAAATACCAAATTAAACCCGTCTTGAAGTTAAATGGTTGCTCCCTAAGTGTGTGTTATCATGTGGTTCTGCAAGTGTGTTGTCTTGTGGTTCTATTAGTGTGTGTTGTCATGTGGTTCTGTAAGTTTGTGTTGTCATGTGGTTCTGCAAGTGGGTGTTGTCATGTGGTTCTGTTAGAGTGTGTTGTCATGTGGTTCTGCAAGTGGATGTTGTCATGTGGTTCTGTTAGTGTGTGTTGTCATGAGTTTCTGAAAGTGTGTGTTTTACTGTGTTTTTGTAAGTATGTGTTGTCATGTGGTTCTGTAAGTGGGTGTTGTCATGTGGTTCTGTAAATGTGATGTAGAGTGGTTCTGTAAATGTGTGTTTTCCTGTGATTCTGCAAGTGTGTGTTGTCGTCATGTGGTTCCGTAAGTGATGGGGAGACATAAATATTAATCTACAAACTTCACATTCAATAGGTTTATCAACAGTATGTTTCCTCATGTGAGTAGTTAAGTTGACTCTTTGATTAAACCCTCTACCACAAACATCACATTTAAAAGGTTTATCATCAGTATGTGTTCTCATGTGTGCCATTAAGTTGCCTCTTTGACTGAAACCTTTACAGCAAACATTACATTTATAAGGTTTGTCACCAGTATGCGTTCTCATATGTGCCTGTAACCCACCATTTAGACTAAATTCCTTACCACACACATCACATTTATAAAGTTTGTTTCCAGTATGTGTGCTTCCCATGTGGTTTTTTAAGTTTCCTCTGTGATTAAACCCTTTAAAACATACACCACATTCAAAAGGTTTATCACCAGTATGTAATTTTACGTGTTTATTAAAGTTTCCTCTGTGATTAAACACTTTACAACATACATCACATTCATAAGGTTTATCACCAGTGTGTATTCTTATGTGTGTAGTTAAGTTGTCTCTACCATTAAACTCTTTACCACATACATCACATTCATAAGGTTTCTTTCTAGTGTGGGTTCTCTTGATGTGTAATTTTAAACCACCAATCAAACTATATCCTTTACCACATACATCACATTTAAATTGTTTATTTTCATTATGTGTTCCCATGTGTTTAGTTAAGTTCCCTTTATGATTAAATCCTCTACAACATACATCACATTTGTAAGGTTTATCACCAGTGTGTGTTCTCACGTGTATAGTTAAGTTGCTACTAGTATTAAACCCTTTGCAACATACATCACATTTATAAGGTTTATCACCAGTATGTGTTCTCATGTGGGCCTGTAAACTACCACTAACGCCTTTACCACATAAATCACATTTATAACGTTTATCCAGGGTATGTGTTCTCATGTGGGATTTTAAGATGCCTTTTGAATTGAACTCTTTACCACACATATCACATTTATAAGGTGTATCCCCAGTGTGTACTCTCATGTGTACTAGTAAATAAGGTTCTCGACAAAAGGTTTTATCACAAACACCACATACAAACGGTCTACCCAATGTTGGTGATCTCACATGTCCTTGCAATTGGGCATTTATTGAATCGCTATCTGCTCTAATATCTTCATCAAAATTATAAGATTTGATTCCTGTATGTATTCTCATTTGTGTCTCAAGATCTGAATTACAACTCCAATCTTCATCATACACATGTTGTTCCTCCATTTGACATCTTGTTTGGTCCTGTGGTGCATGGCTATTAGTCTGGTCAAGGGAGATAATCGTAAAGGAAGTTTTAACTTCATTATTAGACATAGTCTCTAATGTAGTTCTCTGGCTGTCTGTTTGTCTGTTTAATAATGGATATCTTTATTTTGTACGTAGTTCATCTTAGAAATGATTTACTTTAATTGTATTTAGTCAGAAAAGAGGAGACGATCATGGAAATACCTATGAACACTGGTGTTCTTGTAGGCTGAAAATATATAATAATGTCTTTATTTACTATTATTTCATCCATGTCACAACGTATAATTATCATAGGTACTTGGGGACAGAACAATTTTTATTAGCCCTCCCCCTTTTTTCCAAAATCCATTACTTTTTGGTTTTCTATTAATTTCAATTATTTTCGCATTTTTCTGTATTATATCGAAATATGAAGATGTGGTTGGGCGCCAATGAGACAACTCTCTAACCAAGCCACAATGTGTAATAAAATGCTTCGCCGAGCGCAGCTGGATACGAGCGCAGCGGTCCAACCCTGAACAATTGGGGCAAAAATGGACACAATATTCGTGCTTGATACAGGTCTGAATTTGGATTGAAATTAAATGTTTGACACATAATAGGTTTCTAACACAGAATAAATGTAGTCAAAGAACTTAGAATTGGTTATATGATTTGAATTTATATACAATTTTTTGCTCTTGTGCCATAGACTATGTTGTTACGAATTGAACCCCCCACCCCCCCCCCCCCCCTCCAAAAAAAAAATTCACCCCCTTTTTTTGGGGGGGGGGGGGGCAAAACAAATTTTTTTTCACCCCACCCCTTTTTCTTTTACAAAAAAAAATAATATTCAAAGAAATTTTCTTTTTAATTTCTGAAAACTGTAAAGAGAAAAAAAAATTGTTCCCCCCATTTTTTTTTCACCTCCCCCCCTCCCCTTTTTTCCAAAAAAATATCTTTCACTCAAGATATGGCCATTATTTCAATTCAAATTTCCAATGGAGTTTGCAACCATAATTACCCATTTAAATACATCATAAAAGTCTTTAAATAGAAAATGACATACATAATCATGTTTAAAAAAAATATATCTTTATCAGCATTTTTATTAGTCTAAAAATAAATTTACAGCTAATCACCTCAAGACAATACAAAATTTCTTTATACATAATTTTAAAGCAGTGTAAGGGAGGTAATCCTAATTTAACATTGTGCTTAAAAGTGATTGTCCATTAACAAGGAAACCCTTGTTTTTCACCTTTTTTTGCCCCTAATTCCTAAACGGTTTAATCCATTACCCCACCCCCCAAGCCAATTCTAACAATTCCTTTGTGGTATGGAAACTTGTTGTACAATTTCAGAGAGATCCGACCATACACAATTCCACAAGTTATTGTCTGATTGTTTTTAGTACCTTTTGTACATCAGGATTGGCTGTTTCCGGGGGGGGGGGATGGGTTACTGACTTAGTCACTATCCTTTAGGGTATAAATGTGCCGACAGCACTTGCCAAATCATACCCTGTTCTACGGCATGACTCAAAATCATGTCACAAAAAATAAAAATGGAAAAACCGACCTACCTAACCCTCATTTTTTTAACAGTTCAATAAGCGATCCGTTCTTGACAAATACTTTGTTTAAAAAAAGAACCCTGTTCTCACCAGCAGGGCCTGAAAAAGCGACCCTGTTCTAACCAGCAGGACATGAAAACGGGATCCTGTTCTAACCAGCAGGGCATGAAAAAGCGACCGTGTTTTGCGGCACCCCCCCTTCCCAATACGCCTATATATATATTTTTTTTTTTTTCTGTCTGAGACAAAACTGTCAAAAGACCATACCTCCCTTGAAGTTAAATGGTTGCTCCCTAACTTAAGACATATAATTTTATTATGTTTTGCAAATTCATCAACATGCAAATGATTTGTCAGTCCGATTTGACTCGGTCCGAGTTGTCTCTGGGCCGTGTTGTCCCGCATTCGTCTGTACTCAAGTCAAGAGTAAATGTGTGGTGTAAATACGGCCTAGTATCCAAAAGTTTTTGATGAACCTTAAACAATGACTTGCTCAACACTTTATCAACCGAACGTACTTCTATTCATAAAATATAAATGTAAAATGACAAATATCCATGAAAATAACAAACCTTCATGTCATGTGTTTCTTTTGTAAACAATGTTAACAAAATGTATACGTTAAAGGGAGATAATCAATTAAAAACAAACAAACTATGGAGCACCAGGTAAACAATAGTGTTTCCTACTAACGGCGAAATGCATTGCTATTGATAGAAACAATAATAGAAGAAGTCGTTTCGCCATAAGGAAAACAAAAACAAAAACACACAGTGTGATACATTGAAAAAGAAATGATAGTTTATGTGCCTTAATAACACACAACTATAACACTCTTAATTAACTGAGTACGTGCGCCAGACTTTACAATATTACAAACGTCGGAATATACAATACGCAAATTATAATAAATAGCGAATACCTAGTGAAAACTCATCATTGTATTTAATTACTGCTAATCCTCATCCTCAATCAGCAAGCAACTATATATAAATATCGTTCAATGATGCTATACACAAAATAACATTATGTATATATTTATTCACGTAACTTTAAGTTTTAAGTTCATTAATTGTATATCACAGTGGCGGATCAGGGAGGGGAGAAGGTTGGACCCCCCCTTTTTTATAATTGGCTGGATCCGCCCCTGACATAACATGTTTTTATTTTCAGGACAATGACACACATAAAATTCATTTTGCATGCTGTTTAATATTTATTTCTTAATGTTGAAATTTATGCGACAAGTAATCATTTTTCCCGAAGGTGAAGACACGTACTTTATTATGTCCAAGGATAAACATATAAATGCTCTAAAATGCTTGATTTAAATTGATATGAAAATATGGGCGGGAAAACATGGTAATTTGCTGTATTATGGAGCTACCATTTGATTTTTAGGGGGGGCCGGATGAGCAACTTGGCAAAAAAAATAAAAGGCAGGATGACAATTTATGTAAAAAAAAAGTCAGGATAAACTAATAAAAAAAAAGGCAGGACCGAATAGAGTGAAAAATAAAAAGAAAGGAAAGAGATTACAACTAAAAAAAAATGCAGGACAAAATTTTTAATCCTTGCTTGAATTACTCACTCAAGGGATTAAATTTAAAATACACTACAACTGAGTTAAAGGAGACGTGACACGATTTTCTTAATATTTCTTTGTTTTATTAAATTGATAAATATTAGTCTTAAAACATATTTTGTACAATTTTGCTAGTCAAAACCTGATCAATCGGCATATTTAGGTCAAAGAATCCAGCGCTTGTCATACTGAATGATTTTTAATTAGATAACGATAACGTGATCGTGCTTATAGACGTCAGTGGTTACAAGCTGGGAAAATGTCTCTTACTGTGGTAACAATCCGATCGGTATTGTCTGAAATATCGTCGTTGTTAGACTTTTCGCATGAAGAATTAATATCCTTTTCTTGGTTATTTTCCACACACAATGGCTCAAATTGATGAGGTCAATTGTCTTTGTAGTTTGTCAATAATCGGGAAAAGTGCTTTCAATACCGTCCATAGTGTATCGACTTCGTCATATAGGTTTGTCTGATGAATAAATTTAATAAACCGCTTTCCTCATTTTTTATTTATTCAAATAATACTACTTTTAATCATGATTCAAAATATAAATTTTATTATTGATGATCAAATAGTTCTTTTTTCTCTCTGTTACGGTAATGTTATAATTATGTGTGCGCCCGAAGCAGAAAGAAAAGAAAAAAAAAGATAGTAAAAGTAAAATGATGCGTTCGCAAAGGGTGCGTTTTTTGTTTTTGTTTTGTTTTGTATCGTTTTGGTTACGGTGAGACTTTTAATAGGTAAAAACTATCAACAAAAGTTATGCATATATTTTTTTTGGTTGGAAACCATACATCACGCCAAGGATTTGTATAGTGACAAATTCTTTATCACACTTTTTCTGCATTAGGATATTCAATTAACAATTTTATTACTTTCCCCCTTTTTATGTAAACAATTCAATTCAATATTTTATTTACGTCTCACCTTATGTATAAAATTAAACAATACAAAACATTTCCTGTTGTATTAGTAATCAAATTTTGACACCTATAGCATACTTGACCAGGTGAAAGGTAAGAAGGCACCTGTAGTGTGATTTAGGCGCGTGTTATGTTATTTACCTTGAACTACTGTAGTCTTATGTTGAAATAATTAATATAGTTATATTACACTTCTAAAGTATGCAATTTCATCCAAACCCTTATAAATCTAACTTCAAATTTAAGGAATTACACAAAGTAAATTCAAGTTCACACATTTCCAACCTTCTCTTCCAAATATCATTTAGCAATCAATTTGTTTATTGCTACCAGCAAAATGCTTGAGTCCAGGAAAATATTCACAACTTAATATTTCTTCAAAAAGCGGTCAATTGAATATATGTTAAATTTTCAATCGTACTGAGCATGGAAATGTTTACATGTTACATACTTCAGTCTTCGAATACATGAATTATGTATTATTTGTATTTGGCTTTAATCTAGCATACATTATTTGTGCGTTATCTCTATTGTTTTTACGTTAGTGGTTTCTGTACTTCGTACCGATCTTTTGAGTTAGACTGGTTTTTATAATTCTTATGTACTGCTGTAAGACCGCTATCACACGTTTGGAGGGGGGGGGGGAAGGGGGGGGGGGGTAGGCGCTCACAAACATATATCCCCCCCACCGACACATTGTGAATGTGCCTGTCTCAAATCAGGAGCATGTATATCAGTGGTTCATGTCTGTCAAATTTTTTCTGCGGAAATTATTTTGTTATAAATAAGTTAGTTTTATCGCTAAAATTGTTTCACATTTTCATGTTGAGAACTTTTATAGCCGAATATACGGTGAGAAGTTATAGTTTGTACAAATCCTTGTTAAAAGCAATAAAAATAAGATCTATATACAGGTTGTCTATAATTAGTTATCAACGCTGGTTAGGGTATTTAATTGGTGGTGCATAGGGTATTGTATGGTCGTACTACATGCAGGTATTCATTAAACATCAGGTAGTTGTACCTGTATTACTAGATCTTTTCAACAATTGTCTACACCTACAGTTGAGAACGACTACGACAGGTGAGATATGAGGGGTCGTCTCAAAAATTAAATTGAAAAAAAAAACCAATCTTTATCTATATAATTTTGTGTTTCCCATATATATGAAAAACCACAATCTTGAAATATTTTTTTGACAAATAGAATCCATTTAGTCTGCATATTATAATGAGCGTTCATATGGCGAGAAAGTTGATACAATATAAAGGAAAACTTTGCTTGTTTGCCGTAAATCAAATTTGCCCAAAATAATACTACTCGAACTTTTATATCTATGTCAACCGGATGGCGACCTAGTTCCCCGTAAACCATATAATTTGGTGTTGAGGATTTCAGATTTAAAAGTAATTTACAGAATTTTAAATGTATCTTTTCTAATACCTCATTATTACTAAAACCCCATACTTCGCACCCATACAACAGAATGGGCTTGACAATTTTGTCAAAAAGATCTAGCTGACATTTTATGGAAAGCTGATACATCCTTCCCATTTTCAGGACTTCGTACATGGCTTTTAAGGCCTTATCGGATAAATGTTTTTTTGTCATATTAAAATTCCCTGTTTTAGTAAAAATAATTCCCAAATAGTTAAACTGCTTTACTATCTCAATGTTAGTTCAACTTGAATTCGATATTCAGCGACAATGCAATTCAATTTTCGACTCTTTATCATTAAATTTTCGGCTTACGGTGCCGTCGCTTGACCTGCTGCCCAACAACCAAATGCTGAACCTGATGATCTGCATTTTAGTTAAAGACCCTCATCCCCTACCCCCCTCCCCCCCAAAAAAAAAAGAATAATAAATTAGCGATCTTTGATCGACTAGCAAGGAATCAAATATGAGGGCGAACCATAATGTCAAAATACCAAATTGTAAATTTAAAATTCTATTGTGACAAAGACGTACCAATGACCAACACGACAACAGGAATTGTTTCAGGCGCATAAAACATGCTGCGGTGTTTTACAAGTATAATTGGATCCAAACCCTTCCCTTTGTATAGTCAGAGATGAAATTTAAAAACAATTTCACATGGAAAAAAATAGAAAAGAGTTGAAAACCAAATTCCAGAAAAGGAAAGGGTAAGCAGTAACTACTTCTTGCAAGACACACGAAGGTCATTTTCGGAACGGGGAAAGGAATCTATGACAAAGGGACAAGGTATGTTGTCTTTCGGGACACAGACAACCTATAACGGTCAATCAGTTCGTGATGACAACCATAAAACTTATTAAAGGATTACCTAAATTGTTGGCCAAAAAGCCCTGTCTGAGTCAGAATTGCGACACTGCAATGACAAGAATTTCTGTTGAGATATAAGGTACTGATGGAACATTGTTACATATTTTCAAATATTTTGGCAGCGAGCATCACTGAAGAGACATTGATTGTCAAAACTCGCATCATGCGCAGAAAAAAATGATACCGTTAATGTTTCCAATTCATTAGGTAAACACCTCAACTTTAACATGGTACATGTATCTTCCTTGTAACTAAATATTTCGATGTGGCCTTTCCCTTTGACCTTTGATATTACTGATAGGCTTTTACCCGTCCCAAAATTGAATGTGTACACCACGTGACGTGACGATCGGTTGAAAAATACAAATTCTACCGGACGGACGGACGGACAGTCCTGTTACAATGTTTCTTCAGCAAATTTCATAAATAGCATTACAAAAATGAATTCATCGCTATTGGCATATGGTACAATCTTCGTCGATAGACTCGCTTATCTAAATACTCATAATCATACATTTTAAGAAGAAATAAAGCAGATCACGATGTGAAATTTATAAATTCAACGTGATGAAATGTCGTATAAATACATGTAATAAGAATATTATATGAAAGAGAGAGATATTCATATTTGTTTGAAAAATGTTCTTTAATAAAAATTGTGTGTAACAGTAAGCGTAATACTATGCATGAATGATTTCTATTTTTGAGACGACCCCTCCATTTTACCTGTAAACTGTAGGTGTCATTAGTCGGTGTCGAGAGTTGTTGAAAAGGTCTAGTGTAACAATAATATATTCCAATCTCACCTGTGCCCTCGGCAAAACCAACATCCAGGATGTACACAAAGAGCTTATGAAGTAATATTGCGTAATAACTATATCTTATCAATCCCCCACGTGGCGTGACACCTGAAGCTTGCAACTTCAAACGAGACCTGAAATTGCGAAACTCAATCACCTGTACCGTTCACCTGTGACCTATGATGAACTCATGGCATGGCACCCGAGACCCCAACTCTGGATTCCTTATGAAAGTGGGTGGAAAGAAGTGTAGTTTGGGCTTGTTAAAAAATCCTATCTTTACACCTTCTAAGTCCGCTTGTCATTCGAAAAACAGAAAATATCATGTCAATATTCTTTTTAATTATATTGTTGAATCCATCGGCATCACACATACTAATTTTTTTATCACTGTCATGCGTTTGTTGGATAATAATCGAAACTAAATTTGCGCTGTACCCATATGTTAATATGAATGAAAGGAACCACTGACGTATAGTAGCCTCGTTCTGAGTGACTTCCGGGATGGAAATATGCATATTTGACAGGTCGATAAATCGTTGCATGAAAATCTCATTAAAATACATATTTTAACAAATATTTGACACTTATATTGCTATCGATGTATTTTTGGGGAAAGTTAAGTATAAATAAACATTTTGAAACACAAATTGAAAATCGTGTCATGTCTCCTTTAAATAAGATTTTAAACACACTACAACTCATGTGGATTAAATTAAAAAATACACTACATCTCATGTGGATGTAATTTTAAAATATACTACAACTCATGTGGATTCAATTTTAAAATACATTACAACTCATGTTGATTCAAATTAAAAATACACTACAACTCATGTAGATACAGGTTGAAATACACCATAACTCATGTGGATTAGAATTTGAAATACACTACAACTCATGTGGATTAGAATTTAAAATACACTAAAACTCATGTGAATTAGATTTAAAATACACTACAACTCATGTGGATTCATTAACTTCCACCTGTCTATTATATGAGGCCATATAATGACATGTAATACACTAGATCAATTCAATATTATGATTGATTGATTGTTAGTTGCTTAATAGTTATGAAAGTGCAAACTAGTTGTTTAAATGAATTATAACCACTACAAAGAATTAATATTCATTTTATGCAAAACCTTGACAAACACGAACTAGGCAAAACAAATAATGTTGAAAAATATTAAATCATTTGAAATAAGTCAGCAAAATATTATTATTGTGTTCTCCGTTTCACCATCAGAACTGTATATAGACTTAGTCAATGGGAAGCTGGAAATAACAAAAAATAGGTTTAACTGTAGGTCGACCACTTTCTATGTACGGAGTAAGGGCGCTACCATTTGATTTTTATGGTGGGCTAGGATGAAATTTGAAAAAAAGGCAGGACCGACAGGAGTTTTGAGTGAAAAAAAGGCAGGATGAGCAACTTGGCAAAATAAAAAGGCAGGATGACAATTTATGTAAAAAAAAGTCAGGATAAACTAATAAAAAAAGGCAGGACCGAATAGAGTGAAAAATGAAAAGGCAGGACAGAGATTACAACTAAAAAAAAAGCAGGACAAAATTTTTCATCCTAGCCCCCCCATAAAAATCAAATGGTAGCTCCCTAATAGGGATTAGCGACTGAAATGTCTCACCATTTCAAACTTCATATATAATATATATATATTAAGGGTGTAAAATCTAGATGAAATATATAATAAAGTTGCTGATTTTTAATATCATAAGTACAAAGAATCTTGAAACTGCTAAATCAGATGTTATTATTTATCAAAGATGTGATTCAAAGAACGGCTAAAACTACAGTCGAAAATGCAGCTCAATAAATGTTTGTCGAGTCTATTTTAACTCTATGAAATAGCGTAATACATAGTTACATGTACATAGATCTTATTTTTGTTAAAAATATATGATAAGGTATAAGTATTTTTCAATATTCAAAATAAATATAATAAAATGCTCCGCTGGGCGCAGCTTGATACGACCGCAGAGGTCGAACCCTGAACAGTTGGGGCAAGAATGGACACAACATTCAAGCTTGATACAGCACTGAATTTGGATTGTGATTAAATATTTGACACAGCATAGGTTTCTGACACAGAATGAATGTGGTCTAAGAACTTAAAAATTTTTAATTTACCTATTCAAACCATATCATTATTATTTGCTTTAATATATAAATCAGAAATAACCAATTTAAAATGGAAAATTTTAAAGAAAAAAAAAGGAAAAAAAGGAAAAAAAAATCCCTCCCCCAAAGTTTTTGAACCCCCTTATGATTCATCACCCCCAAACTCAATCCCAGCCTTCCCTTTGTGGTATGGTACCTTGCAGTACAAATTCAGAGAGATCCATACACTTGAACACAAGTTATTGTCCTGAAATTAGAAAAATGCTTATTTTTTGCCCCTTTTTGGCCCCTAATTCCATACAATTTTGAGGCAATTACCCCCAAAATCAATCCCAGCCTTCCCTTTGTGGTATGGTATCTTGCAGTACAATTTCAGAGAGATCCATACACTTGAACACAAGTTAATGTCTGGAAACATGAAAAATGCTTATTGTTAGCCCTTTTTGGCCCCAAATTCCTAAACATTTTTGGCAATTACCCCCAAACTCAATTCCAGCTTTCCCTTTGTGATATGGAACCTTGTAGTTCAATTTCAGAAAGATCCATACACTTACACACAAGTTATTGTCCTGAAACAAGAAAAATGCTTGTTTTTTGCCCCTTTTTTTGGCCCCTTATTCCTAAAATTTTGAGGCAATTACCCCAAAATCAATCCCAGCGTTCCCTTTGTGATATGGAACCTTGTGGTACAATGTCAGAGAGATCCATACACTAATACACAAGTTATGTCTGGAAGTTACAAAAATGCTTATTTTTTGCCCCTTTTGGGCCCCTAATTCCTTATCTGTTGGTACCATAACCCCCAAAATCAATCCCAACTATCCTTTTGTGGTATTGAACCTTATGGTAAAATTTCATAGAGATCCATTCACTTAAACTAAAGTTAGAGTGCGAAAACCAATGTGTCTTCGGACGACGACGACGACGACGACGCCAACGTCATACCAATATATACGACCACAAAATTTTTTTTGCGGTCGTTTAAAAACGGAGTGGTTCTAGATGTCTCAGCTGCTCATCCCTAACACAACCAGATTACTGTGTCCAGATCACATGCAGTGAATGTTTTCTGTCCATTCAGTCAAGTGTGTGTTGTCATGTGGTTCTGTAAGTGTTGATGAGACATGAATATTAGTCCACAAACTTCACATTTGATATCAGTATGTTTCTTCATGTGTGTAGCTAAGTTGCCTCTTTGATTGAATCCTGTCTCACAAATATCACATTTATAAGGTTTATCACTAGTATGTGTTATCATATGTGTTGTTAAGTTACCTCTTTGATTGAACCCTTTACAGCAAACATCACATTTATAAGGTTTACCACCAGTATGCGTTCTCATGTGTGCCTTTAACCCGCTATTTAGACTAAATTCCTTACCACATACATCACATTTATAAGGTTTATTTTCAGTATGTGTTCTCCCAATGTGGTTCTTTAAGTTTACAATATGATTAAACCCTTGAAAACATACATCACATTTATAAGGTTTATCAACAGTATGTAATTTTACGTGTTTATTAAAGCTCCATTTATGATAAAACGATTTACAACATACATCACATTCATATGGTTTATCACCAGTATGTATTCTCATGTGTGTAGTCAAGTTCTCTCTACCTTTAAAACCTTTACCACATACATCACATTCAAAAGGTTTCTTTCTATTCTTTCCAGTGTGTGTTCTCTTTATGTGTAACTGTAAACCACCACTCCTACTGAATTCTTTACCACATACACCACATTTAAATTGTTTATATCCATCATGTGTTCTTATGTGTTTATTTAAGCTCGATTTATTATTAAACCGTCTACAACATACATCACATTTATAAGGTTTATCACCTGTATGTGTTCTCATGTGTATAGTTAAGCTTCCACTAGTATTACACCCTTTGTAACATACATCACATTTATAAGGTTTTACACCAGTATGCGTTCTCATGTGAGCCTTTAAACTACCACTAACTCCTTTACCACATACGTTACATTTATAACGTTTTTCCATGGTATGTGTTCTCAGGTGGGTTTTTAAGATGCCTTTTGTACTGAACTCTTCACAACATATATCACATTTATAAGGTTTATCACCAGTGTGTATTCTCATGTGTATTAGTAAATAAGGTTCTCGACAAAAAGTTTTATCACACACACCACATATAAAAGGTCTATCAGATGTTTGTATTCTCATATGTCCTTGCAATTTGGCATTTATTGAATCGCTATCTGCTGTTCTATCTTCATTAAATTTAAAAAGTTTAATCTCTGTATGTGTTCTTATTTGTTTCTCTAGATCTGAATTACAACTCCAATCTTTATCGCAAAACATTTGTTTCTTAGTTTGACATCTTGTGTGGTCCTGTGGTGCATGGCAATTAGTCTGATTAAGGAAGATAATCGTAGAAGTTTTAACTTCGGTATTAGACATAGTCTCTAATGTAGTTCTTTGTTTGTTTGTCTACTAATGGATATCTCTATTTCTTCTGTACGCAGTTAATCTTAGAAATGATTTACTTTATGTGTATAGAGTCAGAAAAAAGGAAATTTTTCTGGACATTGGTGTTCTGGTAGGCTGAAAAATATATAATTATGTATTTATTTACTTTATTAATTCACCCATGTCACGACCTATGATTATCACAGGACTCTACTTTTATTAGCCCTTCCTCTTTTTTTCAAAATCCGTTTTTTTTTATTTTCTATTAATATCAATTATTTTCGTGTTTTTTCTGTAGTAGGGAGCTATCATTTGATTTTTAGGGGGGGGGCTAGGATGAAATTTGAAAAAAAATAGGCAGGACAGGAGTTTTGAGTAAAATAAAAAAAAAAAAAGCAGGATGAGACACTTTGCAAAAAAAAAAAAAAGGCAGGATGACAATTTATGTAAAAAAAAGTCAGGATAAACTAAAAAAAAAAGGCAGGACCGAATAGAGTGAAAAATAAAAATGCAGGACAGATTACAAATAAAAAAAAAAATGCAGGACAAAATTTTTCATTCTCCCCCGATAAATATCAAATGGTAGCTCCCTTATACGATCACAAATATAATAGATATACTTGTGCTATTTACTATCAGTTCCAAGTTTAATGTCCACAGTGGTAAATGATATATTATATACAGAGACACTTTTTAATCGGCAGTTATTAGCATTGTTTTCAATACGTTTGATCCATATCATTTCCATTACCAGAAATACACTTTTACTTTACTCTGATTTATCACGTCATTTAAACGTTTTATGAGCTAACTGGATTCCTTGATCTTTGAACTGATAAAGTAATATTGTGATTGCATGACATTTTTCCAACACCCGTCTTTATTCTTATGTACATAATCCGACCCTGCCTGAAGAAATATATTAATTTTATCATTTAGAAACAGTTATTGACGAAGTGATCAGGAAGCTATCCCCATTAGAATATTTATCCCTTAGCTCAACGTACCGACGTAGATTTAATGCCCAACAAACGCACAAATGACGTCAAATAACGTCACCCTAAGGATGTACTTAGGTGAAATTAAAAAAATCTAGAATTTAAAATTGATACTATAAGTCGGAAGAGCATTAGTTAAGGTACAAAATAAGCTAAAAATATTGATAGGTTATGGAGCTCCTTTTCGAGATATTTAAAAATGGCGGGAAAAGGCTGACTCGGACTTTTACCTTATATTTGCATTGGTATTATTTGGGTCTCAAATCAAAAGAAAAGAGATCTAGAATCTGCTTAAATTTTGGCAAATGACCTTTTATGAGCTATTGAAGTCTTATATAAAAAGAAAAAATGGGTGTTATGGGGCAAAATATTTTACCCTGTATTAAAGGAAAAAAACCAAGGAGTCCGAACATCTGACACAAATTCCTAAACCTCACCTAAGTACATCCTTAAACCAAACATTTTAACGGAAAGATAACGATTGGAATCAAGCGAATTGACTATGATCATAATAATCATAACAAGTATTTCATCCTGTATAATAACAAATAGTTACATACACTGACAACTGTACAAGCCGATCCAAAGCTGATGCATACAAACTTTGTTTTATTTGAAGTTTTAAAAACTTCTCAAATTGATTTTAAATTAAGTAAAAACTATTTATCCCATGATATTCCAAGTTATCATGGAAAATAATTTCATATTAACATGCTGATGCTGCTTTACAAATAGTGCCAATCATACTCCCTTTAGTATAGATTTAAAATTAATTATCTGAATGTTCCTCCAATATCAGGCATACTTCACCTAGGACTATTATACTAAATTTTTCATATTCACGAAAAGACAATATGTCTCTTTTGAATGTACATGTGACAAGAGTAGACCGGTGTGCTCGATAACTTAGGTGTGAAAAAATAAGCATACTTAGGGAAATTGTAACATGCTAAAGACTTTTTGGAACACTCCGAAAATTGGTGAACCGAAAGATCTTTCGATTTTGTATGTACATGATTTTTTTTGCAATTTTTTTTATCAATATGCAGCACAGATTGGCAGTTTTTTAATTTCAGATTCACAAGCTTTAAAAGCAATTATCTCGATAAATACTGAACATAACACATCGTGTATTTTCAAGTATATTTCTAATAACACAGTTTAACAAATAATTTCTTTAAAATGTATTTATTATTTAGAAATAACTTTTGATCAGTATCGTCACAGGTATTGTTTTATTATTGACTTTCTCGACTATATCATAAGAGTGAATTTTCTTTTGTTTTCGTTCACTGGATATATCCCATTGATTATACTTTTTGTTTTTCTATGTTTTCATGTATTTCAGCGATGATCCTTTTGTACTGGATTTTATACTGAATAGAATTAGTTAGTTAGTTAGTTAGTTAGTTACTTAGTATAATTATAATAGTCCCAGACTTCACTAACCTGCTGTCATTTGTCATCGATACTTTTCAAATAACATTTACATAGAATCGAATATGTCACCTAATTCTCCGATGATAACAACAATTATTCATTATATTACCATGGGACCGGATCGGCATGGGACGAAACGACTTGGGACGGATCGACTTTGGGCCGGATTGGTTTAGGGCCGGAACGACCTGATAAAGTGCTTTCATTTTTACTCTAAAAACACCTTAGTAGGAACACACTACACAATGCTCGACCAACTGAATTTTATAATGTATATAAATACGGAACTGTGTTCAACCATGCAATCATTAAAATAAGCATGTTACATTTAACTTTGTGTGCTGTTAAATAATAGCAGAGACGTGTATTGATGTAATTTTTTGACTGATATTTAAATAATTGTTTCTCTAATACTCTATGATTATTTCATTTTTCTATTTTGTTATGACAATTTGTTAACAAAGATATTTATGCATCAAATATAAATGACAAACATCAAGAAAAATATTACGGTTACCTTCTTTATTTTGCAATGTTGCTACCTGTTACCTGTTACCTGGCTGGGATTTTCACACACTCTATATTTATCCGTTAAAGGGCGATAATATTTAAAAAAAAAAAGATACCTATGGAGCACAAGGTAAACAATATAGTTTTCTTTAGTAAATGTGCAATTTATTGTTCTTGATAGAGACAATATTCGAAGTGGCTCAGTTCACCATAAGGTGATAACAGTACACAAAATGAGACGAATTAGGCTTCTCATAAAAGAAATCAAAGTTACTCAATTTTATTACGGCACAATATAAACAAGACAAACAAATATATTTCACAGCACAGGATAAAGAATCTACTGTAAACGGACAGTAACATCAAAATTGTCAAACAGCAAATTAGCAACAAGCCATTTGAAATAATTAAATATAATAAGCCAAACAGATCGAATATACATTTGAGCTAGCCACAGTAAAATAAGCACTAATTTTTAAATAAATACATAGAAACAAAAATTAATAATAACAAACACAGTTGTATGCGGCGGGTGGGAGGGTAAATAATTTCAACGATAAATTTCAAATGTACCGCGACAACAAATGGTAGTGTTTAGCGACCTTAACTGAATATACATCCCTCGCACGGTCGGTAAATGTACCGCGAATCCCGAAACAAAGGTATATATATGAGTGTCCTATATCCAGGTAACAAGTTAGCCAATCAAAATAAAGAATACTCGGAATAATTTCTTCCGAGTAAGATGTAAACAGTGATCCACGTGGTAATTATCAATTTTTATAAAACTCAAAAATTTCACAATTACCAGGCTTCTCATATAAGAAATCAAAGTTTCTCAATTTTATTACGACACAATATAAACAAGACGAACAAATATATTTCACAGCACAGGATAAGGAATCTACTGTAAACGGACAGTAACATCAAAATTGTCAAACAGCAAATTAACGACAAGCCATTTGAAATAATTAAATATAATAAGCCAAACAGATCGAATATACATTCGAGCTAGCCGCGAAGCCAACGGCCGCCAAAAAACAAACAACTGTGTTGAACAAAGATTTAAACAAATTTAAAAATTAATATAAGCTTGCAAATCTAGCATGCAAGAAATAATATCAATCAAAAACTAAATAAATAAAGCAAGCAAGGAAGAAACAATATCAACCATGAACTTAAACTTTTCTCCATACAAGAAACAATATCTCATATGAAAAGAACAGCACCAAACAGTGTGAATAATACTCACTGAAAAGAGTCCCTTACCTGCAATATGAAATTAAAAATATTAGTACATAATATAAATAAACATCACAAAATCATACAAATAATAAAAAAAAATTAGAATGCCACTACATATAGGACATTATAACCAAATAGAAAATTCAAGCAATACCAATTTTAGTATGGAAGAAGTAATATCAACCATAAACTGAAAAGAATTAAAGGAAGAATATGGCAGAAAAGAAGTTTAACCATATCTAATCCTTTAAGTCCACATGAGAAAGTCATCTCACATGTCAAGTTAACATAATCTAAATTAAATGAGCAACCCTTCTTTTAAAATATAAACCCAACTGCCTTGTACCTTCACAATTAAGATGTAAACCCCCATCTTTATAAGCAAATAATTCCACTTTTGGCCTTCCACATTCCAAGAAATATCTATATGAATAAATGAATTCTACTTTATAACTCAAACATAAATTCAACAATCCATATTCACTTCCTTAATTTTCTGACCAGTTAACAAAATTTTCCCGTAAAATGGTGTATAAAGTATATGAAGTGAAAATAATGATTAAATAGATATAAGAAGATGTGTTATGAGTGCCAATGAGACAACCCTCCATCCAAGTTAAAATTTATAAAAGTAAATCATTATAGGTCAAAGTACGGTCTACAACACGGAGCCTTGGATCACACCGAACAGCAAGTTATAAAGTGCCCCAAAAATTACTAGTGTAAAACCATTCAAAAACTTGCTTTTTCACTATTTTTATAAAGTATTGATTTTTTTGTCGATTGACTGGTTTACCCAACATTTCCATTTAACATGTTTAAACATATTCTAAAGTAACTGGTTTGGACATTTTCCTATAAAACAAAGGACCATTAGATTCCAAATCAACATGGAAAAACTAAATCAAACTTTAAAAGAGAGGCGAAAGATACCAAAGGGATATTCAAACTTATCAGTTGAAAACAAACTGACAATGCCATTTCAAAAGACGAAAAACGACGAAAAGACAAACAACAGTACATAAAAGACAACACAGAAAACTAAAAACTAGGTAATACGAACTCCACCTAAAACCGGGGATGATCTCAGGTGCTCTAGAAGGGTAAACATATCCTGTTTCTCATGTGGCACCCGTCGTGTTTCTCATGTAAATGAAAACTCGGTGATAAGTCTAATTCGGTAGGTCAAATTCGAGGAAAAGAGGACGGAATTGTGGTCTATGGAACATGTTCGTCGTCAATTGTGAAACAGTCAGTCAACCAACTCGTGATAGCGATCTTAAAATTTTCGAAAGGATGCTTTGATCTTCACCACTTGGAACTCATGATTTAATATCTTAATTGTAAGTAGCAACCTCATTCAAGGAAATCATGATGGGAAATGCCAGTTAATATATATATATTGAGTTGATTATGTATGTTGTTCTATAAAGTTTCAAATTGTGTAGCTATTTGAACTTTGCACCGAATTTTTGTTAAGATACATATTTTTTTAGTATTGGATATAAATAATACAAAAGTAAAATAAAAAAATTTAGTAGGCTTATATACAGCATCACGCATATTAAAAAACGGATCTAACTGCTATATTTATTTGTGATGCATTTTATGTGTGCCATTGTCCTGAAAATAAAAACATATTGTGATTTACAATTAAAGAACTGAAAACTGAAGGTTAGGTGAATTGTGTACGTGTGTATATATATATATATATATATATATATATATATATAGCAGCATTGAACGATATTTATATGCCAGCTTTAGCTGGCACTTATGGTAGAAGCATCGAATTGGAATAAAGAACGATAACTCTCTCTACATGATCAATCTAAAAAGTTTCGTCACTCTCGTTAAATCTCGTACGATTTTTTTTTTTAAATTTCGAAGTCGATCAAGTCAAGTTATCTAACTCTTAAAAAATATTTTTTTCTTTGTTTTCCTTATATTTATTAAAAAAATATTGTATTCCTGCTTGGCTCCAAATATAAAGTCAATTCTTCAAATAATGAAAACGAAATTAGCATTGGAATATCAGTCAGGACATTGTCAGGACATTAGTTTAACCCTTATATTTTTAATGGCTGCCAGATTCTCGTTAATCGCGATCTTGAAAAAACGGGACAAAACGGAATAAATTCGATGTTAAATACGACATGAATTTTTATTTGTTTACAAAAACCAGAATTTAGAAGTTTTAGTAACTTGTGTAGTTTATTTAAATTTTATTGTACCACGGAAATAACCGAAGTTTGGACAACAACATCTTACGCCATGTTTCATCGTCTGCTTCGAATTTCATCTTTCCATTATCAGTGACAAATTTCCTAAATAACCACAGGTACTTCATTTAAAAGTTACAATATCATAATTTATGATAACATTTGTAGTGTAAAAGTTCCGTCCAGCCATTGGGAACACAGAAAAACCCTCTGCAAGCAATAAATTTCGGGAGAAACGTAGCCGGAGCATCCGTTGCTCTGCCTCTGGTTGACCATGACTACTATTATCCATCTGCTACAGAATTTCCCATATCAAGTTACAGTGATAATGAAGTTGGTTATACTGTTGAATGTGATCGCGGTTATTCCTGTAGCTCACAGACAAATGCAGGTGAAAACTTAACAAAAGTTTAAAAAAAAAATATATATATTCAAATTCACTATCTGTATAGACTGTACTTCCTTTGACAAACTCTCAACAAATCTTGTCATTAATTATGACACATAGACTATCAACCTTAAACAGTCCCAGAAGATGGAGACTGTTTTTTTTCACTCTCTAAGTTTAATCATAAAACGGCTATAAAGGGAGACTTGAGTCTGAGTGATACATTTATAGGTACATATATACATGTATTGTATGCACCCATATTGTCCAAAATAGGATTTTATGGGAAGATGGAGTTATGATAACCCATGATAATACCATGACTTTTGATAGGTATAGAGCATGTTACTTGGAAATATGTGGGCTACATCCTTTGAAATGCAAGCTTCCGACACATTATTTGGATGCAATATAAATAATTGACTCCCGCAGTCGCCTGTATATTTTATGCGTCAGTTTAAACCTGATCAAAACATTTTCCCTCTACTGAATACTTCTATCAGGTGCACATTTCAACCTATTAAAACAATAAACACTTATGGCTATAACGTCACAGTTCCTAAATTGCACCGAGTACCCAATTTGCACCTATTCAACAAAAATAACTGCGGAAATCTTACAAGTTTTCTTTGAGACTAAACAATTTGTATTGTTATGATTTGACATTATACATGTCTTTCAACATCTGTTAATATATTTAAATATACACAAATCATTCACAATGAGGATATATCAACAGATGAAGCATTCCCGAAAAAAAGTAAATCTACGAAAACGTCAGTGTTGTCACCATGCGAAGTTATCAAATTATCATCTTTTAAAAATGGAAGCAACTTCACAACTACAAGTTAATTTTCATGACCAAAATAAAATAAAGTACAAACAAAAAAGTAATAAAATGCTTCGCCAAGCACAGCCTAATACAACCACAGATGTAGATTTAGCATATAAAAAACACCAAAAATTTTATGTCAGTTGAAATCAAACATTTTAATTTTGGATCCTTCAAACTTTAATATGGACTCATTTGAAAACAGGTATCAGGCGAGCCAGAACATTTCTATTCAGCAGCAGTCTCCAACTACATATCTCCTTATTTTTATATGATAGTCCCACAAAAATGTTGAAAAATTATGACTTTATGTGTACATTTATTTTTTTTTCTAGATTCTCTCATGTCATACATGTGAAAGCTGTACCTTTTTGGTCACTGTTCTGTGTTGCGTCTAAATATGAAATGTAACACTTTATAGTGACTGACCAGGTCAAACAAATACTTCTCAAGAAACATGCAGAGAAAGAAGACAACTTGGAACAGCACCAGCCATGCCAGACTATCTATGAATAAAAACTCAGATCGGAATAGCATGGACGATCTGTTAGTTATATTTCCTTGTGAATAGTAAGGAAAGCCATCAATAATTCTGCAGATAACGCAATTTTATCAGGTTTATCGTACATTTTCTGTTCAAATTTTCACACAATCAGTGAATCGTTCAAAAAGGCTAAACTAACTTTTTATTACTGAAAGTTTCAAACAATGACAAGTGTTTCATTCATGAAATAACTTGTGCGTTTCTGCGAAAAAAATCATGTGCAATTTTGTGAATTAAAGGGAAAGAAGATCCTTTTGCGGTGCCCTCACGCATGTCAATTGCGAACTGACCCAATATATTTTCTTTATCATGACCAGTTCACTGATACTGACGTCGACAATATCAAGAAGTACACATCAAAGGAAAAATGCACAAATTACCGTTAAAATAATTTACACACCCTGTTTCGTGTGTATCTCCTGCCATATCGGTATTTGTTGCATTTATATATAAATGAGAAATAATCAATGTAAAAATGGTAAATTTTTGGAGAAAAAACCAAAAAATTATGGAAAAAACAACCCAAAAATGTTGTTTTTGACCACTGACTCCTAAACTGTTGGTACCATATGATATCCCCCAAAATCAATTCTAACCTTCCTTTTATGTATATATTGAAGTTGAACCTTCTGGTACAATTTCATACATTGTCATAGAGATCCATTTACTTTTACTTAAACTAAAGTTATTGTCCGGAAACCAAATGTGTCTTCGGACAACAACAGCGACATGATTGCATTACTCAAAAGCAAATTTTTGACATATTCCCCATTTCCATTCTGATTTTTATTTTGCCGTCGTATAAAAATTTGAAAAGTAAGCTAATAAAACAAAATGCAAAAATGACATAAAACTGGCTCTGAATTAGTACATGAAATTGATGTAGAAACCCACAAACAGAAGATGATCAGGAATACATTTATACTGCTGAGCAGTGTTCTCCCCTCAAATTTTAAATAGCATCCTAGAAAATAGCAAAATCTTTAGATTATCAACTTAACAATCCTATTTATGGTTCCTTATGCTTAGATCAAAATGAAAAACCTGATCAAAACATTATTCTAAACTGGCTCACTGTAAATTCAAACTCTTCTTTTAACAATCAGAATGATCCTCTTGCTGATCACATATATATGAGATGCAGGAAACTGGGAATACAATATGAACATCCAGCTAATTTAGAAAGTAAAAATAATTCAACAAACAGAAAGCGTTGTTTGTAATACTAAATAAAAAAAACCAGCTACAACTTTTAGATATTGATGAAAAAGATATTCCAAATCCTCCACCTTTTCATGAAAATCAACAAAAAATTAATTTAATAAAGTTATGGATTGTATAACAGTATTCATAGTTTTGAAATTAAACAAATGTCTTATTGTTTTAAATTTTGTAAAATTTGCAAAGAAAGAAAAATGGATTTGAAAATGGAACAAGATAATGAATTTAAGCATTGTCATTTAGATTAATCAACAATAAATTTATTTTCAGCAGAAAACAATACGGACAATAAGGGTGCAACTATTTAGCTTCAAAAGGGCGCGTGGGGGTATAAATTTTTTGTTTGAGTTTCACGCAAAGGGCTACAACACTATCAATCAAAATTATTTGGTCAAAAATTAACACTAGAAGGTTTGGGAATAATCTGGATTCAGAATATTTTTTTTGTCCTCTGCTTGATTAGAATTTTTTTTTTCATCAATTTGGGAATCAGAATATTTTTGAAGAAAAAAAAACATACTCCATCCTGCCTTTGGAAGTTCAATGATCGTTCTCTTAACATTTTCCATTTGAACTTATTATTTTATTTTAGACAAAAACTATATGTAGGACATTCGTCCTGAACATGCATAAAATATTTGCCACTGGACGTTAAGCAAACCAACAATCAATCAATATGTAGGACATAGTCTTGGTAAGCTGGCATACAAGGTAGCGCCTTCCTCATATTATATAGTTATTTGTTGGTTGATGATAAGCAGTAATTAAATTCATTGTTGAGTTTTCAATAGTTGTTCACTGTTTATTATGATTAGTACATTGCATATTCTGACGTATGTAATATTTTCAAATCTGGCGCACGTACTCAGTCTAATATTGTTTGTATCAAGAGCAATGAATTGTAACTTTAGTTAAGTAAAGGAAACAATATTGTTTACCAGGTGCTCCATAGGCAATTTTAAAATTGTTTATCGCCCTTTAACGTATACATTGTCAACAAAGAAACACATGACAAAGAAGGTTTGTTTTATTCATGGATATTTGTGATTTTATATTTATATTTTATGCATAGAAGTACGTTCGTTTGATAATAACGTGTTGAACAAGTAATTTTTTAATGTTAATCATACATTTTTGGATAACATGGCCGTATTTACACCACACCATTTACTCCGCCGGCGTACAGACAAATGCGTGATTTCGGCCCGGAGACAAATCGGACCAACTAATAAGTCTCAAGTTACAACCTACCGCTCTTAAAAATCATTTCATATGATCTTATGAATTACTTGTTTGATTTAGTGTACACCTTAGGCTTTATTAAGTGCTTAAACATGTTAAATCATATATGTTTCTTATGTAAAAATGACATACAGATACCTCGGAATTAAGCTCAATTAGGACATCCCAAATATATCACGAATGTCAAGCTATCCAGCAATCAGGGGCGTTTCCATGATATTTGAAAGAAGGGGCGTAGAATGCAATGTTTTTTTTTTTACCTTTTTTTGGCTAAAAAACTTAAAATAATTGTGAAATGCACTAATGTAACGGTTCCTGACTTGGAGCATTTATATTTTATAATTAAAGTGTCAGGGTTTGATATTTTATATGCCGAATTCTCTCCATTAATTGTCTATGGTATATTAAAATGATTGGATGGATCTTAACAGCAGTACACCAATAACGATAAATTCCAAATTCTAGGGTATAGGGCGTTACTTTAAATTTCAATAGTCCTAGGTCAGGATTTTATGAACGGGAGGCGTAATTCCGGTTGCCCTGGTATAGGGTCCATGGGGAAAGTCAGAAGCTCCTGGATTTCAACAATTTAGCATCAAATTATGAAGTATTATAACAGACTCCATGATAGACAAATTGGTGAAAACAGTCTGCCTTCGGATCATTCAAATTATGTATTGATTAACATGTGGATATCAAATCTTTGGAAGAAGTTGTAAATTCAGCTAAAAGGTTATATGAAATGGGCATGAAAAATAAAAAAAATAAATCTTTAACAATAGCTTTTTCTGAACTTTTGATATATATTTATAACTCTATGGTCGGGTTGTTGTCTCTTTGACATATTCCCCATTTCCATTCTCTATTTTAATTTTATATATACCCCTTTTGTTAAAACACACCTTTTCACTGTTTTGGTCTTTTGGAAAATGTTGTTTGTGCTGTATTTAGACCCCTTTACAAAGAAATTTGTTTTGCATGCACACGTATAAAAATTGCGGTTTTTATCCAACACAATCATAGGTTTGAACGTTGTTTTCAATTTAGTAGATATAAAAAGATGTGGTATGAGTGCCAATGAGACAACTCTCCATCCAAGTCACAATTTATAAAAGTAAACCATTATAGGTCAAAGTACGATCTTCAACACGGAGCCTTGGCTCACACCGAACAGCAAGCTATAACAGGCCCCAAAACTACTAGTGTAAAACCATTCAAACGAGAAAACCAACGGTCTAATCTATATAAGAAACGAGAAACATTTATGAGCCATATCAACAAACGACAACTACTGAACATCAGATTCCTGACTTAGGACAGGTGCAAACAGTTGCAGCGGGTTTAAACGTTTTAATGGTACCAAAAATTCACTCTTATCGGAAACAATAGTGTAACATTGTATTTATAATACCCCGTTCTAGATAGTCAAATCTAACCCCTTCCAATGCAAGGCGAAAAAAACATAACCCCATTTCAGACAATTTAGCTGAAAATGCAACCCCGTTTGTCGGAGCATACCCGGTATCATATATATAACGAGTATCCCCCGGGTAGATGTAGAATGGCCATTGGGGAAGTGCATGTCACACAAAACAACCATTTCATGTATAGATTTACTGACCGCTTTGGTTGATTAAAAAAGGTGTCCAAGTCACCCATCGGATGGGGGAATCAGTATAAAAAGGAATCAGAGAGTGTGTTTAGTTAATGAATATGAAAAATTGCCATATTCAATACAATATAAGCAGATAACGTTTTTTTTTTTTGAAAAGGAGGCGTACGCCTATTACGCCCTTACCTGGACCCGCCCTGGCAATTCTCATCCTGCAATTCTCTTTATAAAAAGCTATCCTGCAATCCGTTATCCTGCAATTGCGTTTGGAAAACTACTTGAGCGACAATTTTATTTTTCAAAGATTTTTATATCCCATTAACAAAATTCTAACTTTAGTTTACAGATTTTTAACTCATATTTACGGTTTTGTAATATCATGATGACGATTCAAACAAAGTATTATCTGTTAAGTCCGGGATGTGAGTCGTATAAACGCATGTTTAACCCACATTTGCGATTTTCAAAACTCATATTAACAACTAAAGCTATAGGATTTTGATTTAAAATACATTTTTATGGTATACCGACAATACAACTTCTATTTGAAACTGGGTCACCCGCTTTCCAACCCATTGCCTCGGCAGTTCTGTATGGCTAGGGATTATAGACTCTACTCTAACAAATAGCTATTGAATAGTACTACAGCAGGAGGGTAAAGAATTTCTGGGTAAGCATTCTTAAAGGCCAAAAATTTCGTCCGAAACATGGAAATAAAGCCAAATTCGATAAAATACGCATTGGGGACACCCACTTTCCCACCCATTGTCGCGGTAGTTCTTTATGGCTAGGGATTATAGACGCTGCCCTAATGAATAGCTATTGGACAGTACTACAGTAGGAGGGTAAATAATTTTTTGGGTAAGCATTCTTAAATGTAAACTGTTGTAGGATGAATTTTTGTAAAAGATTTTATGTCTGGAGAATTTCAGAAAAGGTATCAAAAGTCATAGGTACTTGGAGACAGGACAATTTGTTAAGCCCTCTCCCTTTTTTCCAATGTCCGGTTTTTTTTTCTGTTAAATTCCATTATTCAGTTCGCGTTTCTGTATGCTATGAACATATGTATATTATAAATAAAGTGTATTTGCTATTACCTATCAATTCCAAGTTTCTTCTCCACGGCGATCACTGCTATATTATATAGAGAGACTCTATATATTATAGTAGTAAAATCATAGTATACATGCAGATAAACGCGAAAGTAATTGTCCTGTCCCCGAGTACTTTTGAAAATTATGTATAAGTTTAAAACCGGAAGTCTTGTATGACTTAAAAGTCGGTCTGATTACGGAAACAATATCCGGACGCCTTTGTTTTCGTTTTTCTCCCAAAATAACCCAAACTGAATAATCATAAGAATGGATGACAAATGCGACTATGCATAGTACCTATAGGACACAGAGGCATGATGATAAATTTATCGCGCAAGGAAGAGAAGCGACACACAAAATGAGGTCTTCTCGTTTAATAGTATAGATTGGATAGTACTACAGCAGGAGGATAAAGAATTTCTGGGGTAAGCATTCTTAAAGGCCAAAAATTTCGTCCAAAACATGGAAATAAAGCCGAATTCGATAAAATACGCATGGGGACACCCACTTTCCTACCCATTGTCGCAGTAGTTATTTGTGACTAGGGATTATAGACGCTGCCCTAATGAATAGCCATTGGACAGTACTACAACGTGAAGGTAAAGAATTTTAGCTGGGGTAAGCATTCTTAAAGACCGAAAATTTCGTCCGTAACACGGAATAAAGTCAAATTTGATAAAATACTCATTGGGTTTCTATACCCTCAGGTTGTAGTACTATCCAATAGCTATTCATTAGGACAACTTCTATAATCCCTAGCCATAAAGACCTACCGAAACAATGGGTCGGAAAGTGGGTGTCCCCAATGCGTATTTAATTGGATAATGCTTTATTTTACATGTTTCGGACGAAATTTTCGGCCTTTAAGAATGCTTTCCCCCGTAATTCTTTACCCTCAGGTTGTAAAACTATCCAATAGCTATTTATGAGAACAGAGTCTATAATCCCTAGCCATACAGAACTGCCGAGGCAATGGGTTGGAAAGTGGATGACCCCATTGAGTATTTTATAAAATTTGACTTTTTTCCGTGTTCCGGACGAATTTTTCAGCCTTAAATAATGCTTACCCCAGAAATTTTATACCCTCAGGTTGTAGTACTATCCAATAGCTATTTATGAGAGCAGAGTCTACAATCCCTAGCCATACAGAACTGCCGAGGCAATGGGTTGGAAAGTGGATGACTCCAACGAGTATTTTATCAAATTTGACTTTTTTCCGTGTTACGGACGAATTTTTCAGCCTTTAAGAATGCTTACCCTAGAAATTCTTTACCCTCAGGTTGTAGAACTATCCAATAGCTATTTATGAGAGCAGAGTCTATAATCCCTAGCCATACAGAACTGCCGAGGCAATGGGTTGGAAAGTATGTGACTCCAATGAGTATTTATTAAATATGACTTTTTTTCGTGTTACGGACGAGATTTTCGGCCTTTCATAATGCTAACCTCAGAAATTGTATACCTTCTATACCCTCAGGTTGTAGTACTATCCAATAGCTATTCATTAAGACAACGTCTATAATCCCTAGCCTTAAAGAACTATCGAGACAATGGGTCGGAAAGTGGGTGTCCCAAATGCGTATTTTATCGAATTTGGCTTTATTTCCATGTTTCGGACGAAATTCTCGGCCTTTAAGAATGCATACCCCAGAAATTCTTTACCCTCCTGTAGTAGTACTATCCAATAGCTAATTATGAGAGCAGAGTTTATAATCCCTAGCCATACAGAACTGCCGAGGCAATGGGTTGGAAAGTGGGTGACCCCAATGAGTATTTTATCAAATTTGACTTTTTATACGACCGCAAAAAAAATTTTGTGGTCGTATATTGGTATAACGTTGGCGTCGTCGTCGTCGTCGTCGTCGTCTGGCGTCGTCCGGCGTCGTCCGAAGACACATTGGTTTTCGCACTCTAACTTTAGTTTAAGTGAATGGATCTCTATGAAATTTTACCACAAGGTTCAATACCACAAAAGGAAGGTTGGGATTGATTTTGGGGGTTATGGTACCAACAGTAAAGGAATTAGGGGCCAAAAAGGGGCCAAAAATAAGCATTTTTGTAACTTCCAGACA